GAGCTTATTGAAATTACACCATTTTTGTCTGCATCTCCTTTCTTCTGTTTCTTTCATTCTCTTGAGTGCCTTTTCCTGAGAAAACTTCCTTAATAAATCACTGCACAAGAAACCTTATCTTGGGTTAGCTTCTAGGGAACCTGACCTGAAATCTTTTTACTCTCCAAATATTTAGAGTCAAGCATAAAAAAAAGGAAGTTTGCCTTTTACATGGAAACAATATCACAGACAAGTTTAAAATACAAATTGGAGAACACATTTAGAACATATGACTGGGACTCCTGGAGTGGCTCAGTTTAAGTGTCTGACTCTTTTTTTTTTTTTTTAATTTTTTTTTCAACGTTTTATTTATTTTTTTTTAGACAGAGAGAGACAGAGCATGAACGGGGGAGGGGCAGAGAGAGAGGGAGACACAGAATCGGAAACAGGCTCCAGGCTCTGAGCCATCAGTCCAGAGCCTGACGCGGGGCTCGAACTCACGGACCGCGAGATCGTGACCTGGCTGAAGTCGGATGCTTAACCGACTGCGCCACCCAGGCGCCCCTAAGTGTCTGACTCTTGATTTCGGTTGGGATCATGATCTCATAGTTCCTGGAATGGAGCCCTGTGCTGAGCTCTGCACTGACAGCATGGAGCCTGCTTGGGATTCTCTTTCCCTTCTGCTCTCTGCCCCTCCCCTCTCACACACACACATGTGCTTGTGCATGCATATGCATGCTCTCTCTCTCTCTCTCAAAATAAGTAAAGATTTGAAATTATAAAAAATAAATAAAATAAATAAAATTGAACTTTCCTAAAAAAAGTGCTGTATTTAAAGGACACTTAAGCAAATGAGTGCAAAACAACCCAAACCTAACATGGGAAAAGGACATAGACAGAAAATCACAGCAAAGAAACTATGAAATGGCTCAGTTTTTCAGAATAAAAGAAATAGCGATTCAAGTGACAATGAGATACCACTTTTGCATTACTTAGATTGACAAAGCCTTTGCAAAGCGTAATAACATAGTGTTAGCTTGGATATGGAGAAATCAGCCTTCTTAATTTTTGGAGGGAGTGTTAACTGTCAACTGATACAATATCTTTAAGAGTCCACATTATATATTAACTTGAAAATGGACAAACCTTGCCTATTCAACCCTGATTACTTTTTCTCATTCTTCTTTTTGAATTTTGTAATAGCATTTGCTTTAGTCTCAATATTTGTGTCCCTTAAAAATTCATATGTTGAAATGCTAATAGCCAGTGTGATTGTATTAGGAGGTGGGTCTTGCATTAGGAGGTACACGTATTAGGTCATGAGTTCTCATGAATGGGATTAATGCCCGTATTAATGCCCTAATGGGAAAAGACCCCACAGAGCCTGCTCACCTTCTTCCACCATGTAAGGATACAAAGAGAAGTCTGCAATCTGGAAGAGAGCCCACACCCAACTATGCTGGCATCTAGATCTTAGACTTCCTGCCTTGAGAACCGTAAGAAATAAATTGTTGTACATAAGGTACTGTGTGGTATTTTGTTAGAGCAACGCAAATGGATTAAAAATGGTATTTATCGCTCTAAAACTGTCTCTTTATTTACTTGCTTATTGTCTCCTCACACTAAATGCAAACTCCGAAGAGGTTGTCCCTTGTCCTCCCTAAGTCCTACATGGTGTCCTCCATGCCCGTGCTTCACATATAATAAATGCTCCATTTAAAAGAGTTGAATTGGGGCTTTTGAATGCTCAGTCTGCAGAGCATGTGACTCTTGATCTCGGGGTTCTAAGTTCGAGCCTCATGTTGGGTGTGGAGATCACTTAAAAATAAGATCTCTAAAATATAAAATAAAATAAAATAAAATAAAATAAAATAAAATAAAATAAAAT